CTAGTGAATTCACTCGCTAGATTCCCACAGTTATTGTTTGCAGCTTGGTGAAACCGGATTCACTGCTAGTAATTAAAATGGTATGAAAAAACAAGAAGGAGCCTGTGAATGAGCCTCAATTTTTGCTTATGGAAAAAAATTCCTAAATTTGGCACTCTTTCAAAAAATCCAGTTCAAGCTGCTTCTACTGCTATTGAATTTTACGATGGCTCTATCGAATTCCTCTTTCATTACTAAAAGCAAGAAAAAATTAAAATTTTCATATCAGAAACCTTGTTTTCTGCACTGACGCTCAACGACCACAAAGCAACAAACGATAACGGTATCCAGAGTTGCAGTCCCATCCTGCCTGAAATTTTTCCATTCTTCGATTCACAGCGCAATTTTCTACACCATTAGAATGCTACTGTGAGTTGTCCAGTATAGCTAGGATCACCCGGAATTCGGTGCAAAATCTTTGGTGTTACCAGGATCCGGCCACAAATAGCATAATATTTAAAAAAAAAGTCATCGGGGTTCTGTATGGGATCATTGATGCCTTAGAGATGCAACTATACTCCGAAAGCAACTATGATAACAACTATGCCATACCTACTATTTATGAATGAGTTGCTTGCTCCCAGTCTTTGCCCTTGCATATCATTAACTTGTACAATCGGTTCAATGAATTGTAAGAAGTGAGTGAAAATTTCTGAGTCACTTTTAGTGGAGGCTGAGAAAACTGCACAGTAGATTTTGCCGCGCTGTTTTTTGGGTTGTTGTAAAGGTATCATCGCTATTCTGAAGCATCGTACTACTAGCTTAGCATAATTTTTCTGTAGTATTGCTGCGTATAGCGTAATTTTTAATTCCTATGTGTTATAATCCTGTCTGGCAATTCGTCGACAATAGTTGTTGCTTGCCATAAAAATCCACTGGTACTCAGTTAAAAATCCTTGAGAATGGTAAAATTAATTACGATACTAAATCGTGAAAAAGTTCCATATGGATTTCACTGACAAATTTCTCACTAGAGAAGCTTTTCAGGACATTGTTGAAATAACATTATTATTACCACATTTTTCAAATTCAAACAGATAGAGCAGCTGAGATGATGAAGAGCGAAAGGAGCAGGATGGGGACAAATGGGAAGGGAATGTGGGCGAGGTGTTGAGGGAGATTTAGGTAATTTTTTAATGCGACGCAGAAAACGCACATTGCAACGCAGAAAACGCACATTGACGAGGGGTTCTGCGTGTGTGTGTCTGTATGTCTGTTTGTCCGCTTGTGCGTCTGCCACGGTTTTTCATCTCAGGACCTACAAAAGCTACAGGGCTGAAACTTTGGGAACTTGATCTACGTGCACGTATGGGCCGCAATCCCCAAAATTGGCGTCATTACCTGCATAGTACCTGCGTACGGGCTCGCCAAATTTCCTCCAGGTAAGTTCATAACTCGGGGATCTGAGAAGCTAGAAAGCTGAAATCTTAGGAGAATGTCCCCCGTCCAAGTGGGTATTAGTGAGCTCAACCAGTGCCCCCGCGTAAGCGTGGTACTCGCGTAAAGACCCCCCAAAATTTTTTTCGGACAAGTTGATAACTCGAGTAGCTCAGAAGCTAAAGGACACCTAAATTTCATCCAGCTCAAACCTAACTCTTGCGTATGTGTAATAAACACGCACGGTCCTATGAAAATTTTTTTCCAGTAAGTTACTAAGTCAGGAGCTAGGGAAGCTAGAAAGCTGAAATTTTAAGGGGGTGTTTTCTGACAGTTCTGGCGGCACTTGTTTAGCTAGAAGCATTTACCGGAAAAGCCAGTGCCGTTAGTAACAAAAACTGCGGGGAACTATACAAAAAACGCAGTTTCGCACGGGCAACCCGTGCGTTGGACAATTTTTTTTTTATCTAAATAAGGTTGAAAACAGCCTCATTTTTTATCTAAATAAGGTTGAAAAGAGCCACAAGTCGAAAAATAGTGGCTAGAACCAATGGAAAGACAGAAAGGGCATTAACTCTTGCAAGATTGTAAATTCACCCAAAATTGGGACAAAGGTTTGAATTAATACAACGCAAGCGACGCCAAAAAACCATCTAGGTTGGGAATTTTGCAACGCCACGTACAAACGACTTTGTGTGAAGTAGCTTTACACTACGTAACGTGCATAATTTAATAGTAATGTAACTTTTTGGAGAACCAGTGCAAGGTTTAATAATTTTTCACTATTGTGAATTTTCGAAATTTTCAGTATCTTTTTGAAACTTTTTAGAAAATACGGGAAGAAAAATAATGTAATTTAATTTTGCGGCTTGGATGAAAAATAAAAAACTGCTGTCCTACGGGTTCTTCCAAAAATGATTTGTGCGCTTTTTAGAAACAACTTTCGCTTGCAACATACAAGAAAAATTCTTCGAAAACTTTTAACTGCTTTATTCAGGCAAACATCACAAGTACACATTTATAGAGGTGTGCATTATGTTGGCATAACAAAAAAAAAGCCTAATAACAAACAAACACAACAGTATTGTTACCAGCGCATTCAACCGCTTGGACCAGTGCAATTTTCATAATGCCTGAAAATCGTTCATCTCAATATTTATTTGATATAAATAGGTATTAAGCTCAAAAAGATTTATAAGCGCTATTCTAAGAGAAGACAGTAGCTAATTGTGATATATAGTGAAAATATTAAAGGCAGAAACCTAGAGCATTTCATCAGAACGGTTGCAGGCTTACGCGAACTATGATTTTAAAAACGAAGCTTCGCGCATACGGTGGGAAAATGCTGCAAAAATTTCAATTTTTCAGCTTCTCTGGTCGCTGAGTTGAAGTAGGTGACAAAACTCCGCACACACACACACACGCACACACACATACATACACACAAACACACACATACACACATAATAACATGCACACAGACAACCTCTTGTCAATATGCTCTTTTAAAGGTTTTTGCTGCGCGCGTTACAGTGCCACTACCGTGAGCAGAAACACCTGTCTTTAAGAAAACGTTGTGTATGTATGCGTGTGCATGTGTATATTTATTAACTATGACGCAACTTCAAATCAAGGACCAAAGCATGTTCCTATCTGAAATTTTGGCGCATGTTTTCACCGTTTGTACGTCCCTTCCATTTTGAAATTATCACTCACGTATGCTCGGAGCTACCTACGGACGATGATAACAAAAAGTTAAGTTTTTTAACAGAAAAGTGATTTCAGAAATCAGGAAAAATGGGGAGCTGAAATGTCGAAGGGTTGTTCTATGCCCTTGTATGAGTTAAATACTTTAAATTCAGATATCATGCGCGCCTCCGCTACATGTGCTGATGCGCCAAATTTAACAATAGAAAATCCCCTGGCAAAATGCTAACTCAGGCTGACTAAAGTGCTTAAGCTTTACAAGAACTTAAGAACCAAAGCGTGTAGGCACAAAGTACCTGAGTCGCGTATTAGGACACGTTAAAGATATTTGTAGCGAAAAGTGATTTCGCCTGTCAGACAAGGTATAGGCGTGCCCTAAAGCGGAAATTGAAATATTTAGGAAGCATATAAGCGTAGAATATTTTTGTAAATTTTCATCATCCCAATTTGTTTTCGAAGATGTGGGTAACTGAGGCAGTCAGGCAGGGACGATGAAAAAAACACAAGGATATTCTATACCTTATGCGCGACCTAAATATTTTAAATTCCGCTTCGGGATACGTATAGGTCTTCCGTACACGCATGTGAATCTGCAGTTTTGAAAGCAGTTAGCACCCAATCAAATTGAGCAGGAAGCATTATTTTTCTGAGGATATTTCTCGTCAATTACGAAATAGAACATTTCACATAGAGATGCGGTAAATTTTAGATTGCCAAAACGCATGATGGGATCGGAAATCGTGATGCGCATTGCTATCTGAGTATAGTTCAAAACTAAAAATGTGAGTGCATGCACTAAAAAGAATTTTTTGATAATATTTTCAACTTCTGCTTTAATGGATGAAAGTTATTTTTGCCAGAAAGATTACTGATCTCGTTCCTTCAAAGTGTGGAAAAGTTGGATGCATCCACTTTTGCAGCATGCGTAGATTGGCTTTCCGAGATGTACGCTAAGCACATGGTTGTCGCGAAAGCCTTCGAAAATATAGGGTTTTCTGCAATATTTGCATCGAAACTTCTTTTTCCGAGATTTTACCGTAGGCGCGCCAGTGATTGAAAATGATACAGATTCTATCACCGCAGCAGTTCCTGATGATCCAGTTTGCGCTTCGACGTCAACTTTAGAACATCTAGGCTTCGTCTTCCTCAATAAAAACATTCTCAAATTTTCAGCATGAATCTCGTGGTAGTCTGTAAACTGGCGTTTCAGCCAAATATTTCTTCAAAATGTTCAAGACGACACTTGGGTAGGCTTTATAAAGCAAGCACATTTCTGACTTTTAGGAAGTATTTGAAACTATATGTAGTATTTGAAAGAACCATTTGAAGTATTTGGAATATTTGAAACTGAGACGATATAATTCAGGAAACGGAATGAAATCAAGATTGCCAGAAGGCTGGCCAACAGGCGATGCAGCGTCGGATAAAACAATCACCTCATACATCCACAGAGAATACGGCCTCAAAATTTCAGCTTCCTACTTTACCAACTCCCGAAAACGTTTTCGCCCCAAAAAACTTTCCAGTCGTTTAAGGGGTCGTACGTGAGGTCTAAGAGCGCAACTGCTATGATTTTAAAACAGGACAGTGAGACAAAAAATGGGAATACCCTACTACAATTTCAGATTCCCAAATACTTCATATAGTAAATTAAAAGTGGGTCACAAAATTACTCATTTTTCCGAGAGCAAACGTGCCTACAAATACGTATAGACGCACTTTCGACAATGCTCATTTTGCTTACAGCAAAAGCGTGAAAATTAGTAATTTTCTGAAGAAAGGAAAAACTGTGCACAGGTCGTAAGTGCCAACAGCCGTATAACGGCTTAGAAAACTTTATTTCTCCGATTTTTAGCAAAAACGAAGATTTTTTTGACTCCTAAATTCGTGTTTTTTCATTTCAAAATATAGAAAGCGTGCCTCTGTTCCTGGCCTGCAGAAGTAGTCCTTTTGGTAACAGCGATTATCGCCTGAGAACTACCCATTCGATATCAAATCTCATTCTGTCCTTTTTCTGGCTTAATACTCGTTTTGACTGCAAAATCACGATAGTAAAATTTGTTACCTCTTTGCCGATCCACTAGCAGCTTTACTTCGAACGGCGGACACCTCGACAGCACTTTTTTTGTTCAACATATCTTCATTGTGTCTTTCTAACAGACTGACCATCGGAGCTATTCCAGCTTTCCCGCATTCACTCTTAAGTTCCTAAAATGTCATC